AAGTCTAAATGATAGAATGGAATGAATAAAGATGTAATATGTTTTATGTGACAATGTTTTTTAAGGGATCTAGTAAATACTTTTGTTTAGCTTTGTTTATAATTAAAATATTTGTAAATAATTTAGACACTGAAGAAGGATCAAAGAGAATGTATTTCTGTGTGTGTCTGGAGATGTACTTTATCCAAATATGGCATTATCTGAAAAATAAAAAAAAGTATGTGTCATATAACTTATAGCACATTTCATGGTTTTTAAAATAACCCTGGAGGGCAGAGTACTGTTTTTCAGATACAGAAACTAAGGTTTAGAAACACTAAATGGCAGCCAGGCACGGTGGCTCATGCCTGTAATCCCATCACTTTGGGAGGCCGAGGCAGGCAGATAACGAGGTCAAGAGTTAGAGACCATCCCACCTAACATGATGAAACTCTGTCTCTACTAAAAATACAAAAATTAGCTGGGCATAGTGGCATGCAGCTGTGATCCCAGCTACTCGGGAAGCTGAGTTAGGAGAATTGCTTGAACCTGGGAGGCAGAAGTTGCAGTGAGCTGAGATTGCACCACTACACTCCGGCCTGGGTGACAGAGTGAGATTTCATCTCAAAAAAAAAAAAAAAATTACCTGGGTGTGGTGGTGCATGCCTGTAATCCCAGCTACACAGAAGGCTGAGAAATGAGAATCACTTGAACCCGGGCAGCAGAGGTTGCAGTGAGCTGTGATAGGGCCACTGTAATCCAGTCTGGGTGACAGAGTGAGACTCCATCTCAATTAAAAAAAGAAAGAAAGAAAAAGAAACACCAAATGGCTGGGCACAGTGGCTCACACCTATAATCCCAGCACTCACTTTGAGAGGCTGAAGCAGGCAGCTTGCTTGACATCAGGAGTTTGAGACCAGCTTGAGAAATATGGCGAAACCCGGTCTCTATTTAAAAAATACAAAAGTTAGCCAGGCATGACGGCACATGCCTATAGTCCTAGCTACTAGGGAGGCTGAGAGATGGGAGAATCTCTTGACCCCAGGAGGTCAAGAATACAGTGAGCCATGATCACACCACTGCACTTTAGCCCCAGTGACAGAGCAAGACTTTGCCTCTAAAAAAAAAAACAAAAAAAAAATCAAATGACTAAAAGCACACTAGCCAATGACAGAGGCAAAATTTGAACCCAGGTGTTTTCAAGACTATATATTAAATAAACTGCCCCTTTTTTGGGCTCCATATTTCCAATTGGAAGATTGAAGAGAGGGCCTGGAAATCTCTAAGAGAACTTTCCTGGTCTTCACATCACTATTCATAGAAGCAAAGAGGAGGGCCCAGAACTCCAAATACTCTATGCAAAGTCCGCCCCATTCCTTCCCCCCAACACACAGGTTAAGGTTCCATCATCAGGACTAGTTTCATTCTGTCCCTTCTCCCTGTTTATATTAGACACCTCAAGGAACCCAGGAGTCCTGGGTCATGCCTCATGCTCTGGATAGTAATCCCCCTATAGTTCTATGGGCAGCGATGCACCCTCCACCCTGCTGTTTTCTGTGTCCCCATAACACCCTCTTATCACTATCTGATCTGACATTTACTTTTTTTTTTTTTTGAGATGGAGTTTCGATCTTGTTGCCTAGGCTATAGTGCAGTGGCACAATTTCGGCTCACTGCAACCTCCGCCTCCCGGTTCAAGCCATTCTCCTGCCTCAGCCTCCAGAGTAGCTGGGATTATAGGCATGCACCACCACGACCGGCTAATTTTTGTGGGGTTTCACCATGTTGGCCAGGCTGGTCTCGAACTCCTGATCTCAGGTGATCCACCTGTCTTGGTCTCCCAAAATGCTGGGATTACAGGCGTGAGCCACTGTGCCTGGCCGACATTCAGTAATTTTTAACGTGTTTATCTGGCTCTACCCAGTGAAATCTAAGTTTTGTTTTGTTTTTAGAAATAGAGACAGGATCTCTCTATGTTGCCCAGGTTGGTCTCAAACTCCTGGGCTCAGGGGATCCTCCTGCCTCAGCCTACCAAAGTGCTAGGATTGCAGGTGTGAGCCAGCACACACCTGGCCAAAGCTTTTTGAGGCAAGATTTTGTTCATCACTGCATTGACAAGCACATAGAACAGTGCCTGACATAAAGTAGGCACTTGTATATATTTGTTGAATGAATGAAGAGTAAATGAGTGTTTCTTCCTCTCACACAGGTATGCAAAGGAAAAGAGTACAGTGCCTTCCAATTCTTATTGAATATGTCCAGCAAAGCGTACTGTATTATTACCCTCTTGCGTTTCTAGAGATTATCCTACAGCAACCAACTAAGGTTGCTGTGAGAAACTCTAACTTTGTGAGCCATTGCCTACGGACAGAGCTATTGGTCCCTAGAGGAATGAGGTAAGTTACTTCTGGGAAAGTATATTTCGTGTCCCAACATTTATTCAATCAGCCAGGAAACATTTCCTGAGTGCCTAATTTGGGCCAGACACTGTTCTAGGGACCGAGGATCAAGTAGTGAAAAAAGCAGATACCATCACTGCCTTCAAAAAGCTTAGTCTTCATTAGGGCATGATAAACATTGTGGTGAAAAAGAAAGCTGGGTAAGGGATTATAGAGTGTTGAGAAGTGTTGCTAAGGGTGGTTTCTTTTATTTATTTTTTATTTCAGTAGTTTTGGGGGTAAAGGTGGTTTTTGGTTACATGGGTAAGTTATTTAGTGGTGATTTCTGGGATTTTGGTGCACCCATCACCTGAGCAGAGTACACTGTACCCAATGTGTAGTCTTCTGTCCCTTGTCCCTCTTCTACCTTTCCCTTGGGTCCCTAAAGTCCATTATATCATTCTTATGCCTTTGCATCCTCATAGCTTAGCTCCCACTTATAAGTGAGAATGTACAATATTTGGTTTTCCATTCCTGACTCACTTCACTTAGAATAATGGCCTCCTCCCAGGCACAATGCCTCACGCCTATAATCCCAGCACTTTGGGAGGCTGAGGTGGGTGGATCACTTGAAGCCATGAGTTCGAGACTGGCCTCCTGGTGAACCAGGAATAAGGTGAAACCCTGTCTCTACTAAAAATAAAAAAAAAAAAAAAAAAAAAAAAAAAAAAAAAAAAAAAAAAAGCATGAAAAAAACAATTAGCCGGGTGAGGTGGTGGGCGCCTGTAATCCCAGCTACTTGGGAGGCTGAAGCATTTGAACCTGGGAAGCGGAGGTTACAGTGAGCTGAGATCGTGCCAGTGCACTTCAGCCTGGGTGACAGAGAGACTCAGCTTTCACAGAATTGAAGAGAGTTAGGGCCTGGCTCTGGATTAGGCTTTGGCTTAAAGAAATTTTGTGGCTGCGTTGATCTGTTCAGACCAGTCAAACTTTCCCTATTGGCAATAGGCTGTTTTGCTTTCTTATCATTTGTGTGTTTCCAAGAGTTTTTTCTTTGCATTCATAATTTGGATGAATGATTGGCACAAGAGGCCTGGCTTTTAGCCTATCTTGGCTTTTGTCATGCCTTCCTCACTAAGCTTAATCACTTCTAGCTTTTGATTTAAAGTGAAATGTAATACTTTGTCCTTTCACCTCAGGTGATTCACCCACCTCGGCCTCCCAAAATGCTGGGATTATAGGCATGAGCCACCTTGCCCAGCCCAAGAGTTATTTTTGAATAAAAAAACACATGACTGTTACAGATTAACTCTAAACATAGTGGATAATCTCAGCTTTCTACACCACACTGTGTCACACTCTACTTCCTAAGAGCACTGGGCAAATGTAAAGTTACAGCCACATGAAAGAAGTGAAATCTCAAATGTGGTAATTCTTTTGTTTCTAATCTAAATTAATAATTTGTTGGTTGTATTAGATATGATTACACACCCCATTCTCTTTTTTTCAAATAAATGAGAAAATGCTGTCAGCTGCCTGCCTAGACTAAGAAACAAGTATTCACAATGAAGGTATTTATCAGTTGCTCCTCCTCCTCATATAAAATAATAACACCATCACCACCATACCATCCCCTGCCCCCATCAAACTTCCTCAATTTTTTTTTTATTCTTGAGACAGAGTCTTGTTCTGTCGCCCAGGCTGGAGTGCACTGGAGTGATCTCGGCTCACTGCAACCTCCGCCTCCAGAATTCAAGCAATTCTCCTGCCTCAGGCTCACAAGTCTGGGACTACAGGTGCATGCCACCATGCCCGGCCAATGTTTGTATCTTTAGTAGACACAGAGTTTCACCATGTTGGCCAGGCTGGTCTCAAACTCCTGACCTCAGGTGATCCGCCTGCCTTGGCCTCCCTAAGTGCTGCGATTACAGGCACAGGCCACACCATGTCCAGCCCATCCACATCTTATTAGGGCTTTTTATGTGATGTTTGGTCATCAAAAGGATTTCCATTGCACCTCAGTTTTGCATATGAAATGTTTATAAAGGCCAGAGAAACTGATGAGATGGTAGGTCTCTGAAGTTTTTGTGGTCTATTGTAATTATTGTAACAATTCTTCTCAAAATGTGGTTCTCAGGCGATTGGCATCAGCATCACCTTAGTCTTCTGAGAATGCAGATTTCCAGGCACTTCCCTAGAGCCTACTGAATGAGACAGCCTGCAGCTGGGGCCTGGGATTCTGTATGCATAAAAAAATGAGTCTCTGTTCTATAATAGATCTTACAATCCACCAGCCTAGTTGAATGACAGTTTTACTTTTAAACAGATTGCCTTTATGACGTACCAGGGCAATACTCAGGGACCTCTTTCAGTCCCAGAGATTATTCCTAAGAATTCTTAGGAATACCTACAAATCCTGCCTATCAATTGGTTAAGAATCCTATCATAGGCTGGGCCTGGTGGCTCATGCCTGTAATCCCAGCACTTTGGGAGGCTGAGATGCGTGGATCACCTGGGGTCAGAAGTTTGAGACCAGCATGGCTGGCCAACAAGGTGAAAACCTGTCTCTACTAAAAAATACAAAAAAATTAGCTGGCTGTGGTGGTGGGCACCTGTAATCCCAGCTACCTGGGAGGCTGAGGCAGGAGACTAGCCTGAACCTGGGAGGACGAGGTGGCAGTGAGCTGAGATCATGCCATTGCACTCCGGCCTGCGTGACAAGAGCGGAACTCCATCTGAAAACAAAAACCTTATCATAACATCTTACTTTTTGGTGGAAAGTGCTTCCTCTCCACGTGAGCAAGGAGACTCAGCTTGACCCAGGAGCTCCTGCCGCTTTCAGGAACAGGCTCTTTGGCTGTGGTATAAGTAGAGGACTGATAAGCACCTGGGAAGTGCCTCTTTTGAGCTCTCAGTAAGCTGACTTCATTGCTTCGTTCCACCAAGCAGTTGGATTCACGCTTTCTGTTTATCTCCTCCAGGAGACGTTGTTTGCTTACTCCATGTTTTTTAATTATTTCAGTGATTTTGTTTGTAGATGCCATTATGCTCACAAACCAATCGTCAAGTGATTCTTGGTGTCCTACAAGCAAATGAAAAAATACTATCAATTGTCTTTTTGACTTAGAAGCCAGTATTCACAATCACGTTTATCAGTTTCTTGTTTTTCCTTCCATAAAATAACACTACCACCACCACACCTCCCACCCCACCTCACTTTTTTATTTATTTATTTATTTAGACAGCATTTTGCTCTGTCGCCCAGGCTAGAGTGCAATGGTGTGATCTTGGCTCACTGCAACCTCTACCTTCCCAGTTCAAGTGATTCTCGTGCCTCAGCCTCCTGAGTAGCTGGAATTGCAGGTGTGCACCACCATGCCTGGCTTTTTGTATTTTTAGTAAAGACAGGGTTTTGTCATGTTGGCCAGGCTGGTCTCAAACTCCTGGCTTGAGGTGATCTGCCCACCTCAGTCTTCCGAAATGCCGGGATTACAGGTGTGAGCTACCATGCCTGGAGAGCATACCTCACTGTTTTATTATTTTTATCCCAGCACTTTAGGAGGCCAAGGCAGACAGATCATGAAGCCAGGAGTTCAAGACCAAACCAGCCTGGCCAACTTAGTGAAACTCCATCTCTACTAAACAAAAAATTAGCTGAGTGTGGTGGTGGACACCTGTAATCCAGCTACTCGGGAGGCTAAGGCAGGAGAATCGCTTGAACCCGGGAGGCAGAGGCTGCAGTGAGGTGAGATCAGGCCATTGCACTCCAGCTCAGGTGACAGTGTGAGACTCTGTCTCAAAAAAAAAAAAAAAAAAAAAAAAAAAAAAAAAAAAAAAAAAAAAAAATAGGTGGCCAGGTGCAGTGGCTCACGCCTATAATCCCACACTTTGGAAAGCCGAGATGAGAGGATCACTTAAGCCTGCAAGGCGAAGGTTGCAGTGAGCTGAGATTGTGCCATTGCACTACAGCCTGGGTGACAGAGCAAGATCTGTAAAGATTGAGAAATATTCAGAACCGATAAATGATACAGTGATACAGTCAACAGTCTCAAGAAGCTCAAACAATACCAGTCAGGATGTTTTTAAAAGCCCACTCTGAGATTACAGTGAACTAAAAAGAAAATCTTAAAAGCAACCAGAGAATCAAAGGAGGGACAATTGGACCAACAGCTGACTCTTCAACAAGCTATAACAGAAGCCAGCAGACAAAGAAATGGGGTTGGGCATAGTGGCTCATACTTGTAATCCCAGCACTTTGGGAGGCTGAAGCAGGTGGGTTACCTGAGGTCAGGAGTTTGAGATCAGCCTGGCCAACATGGCAAAAACTCATCTTTACTAAAAATACAACAACAAAATAACTGGGCATGGTGGTGTGTGCTTTTAATCCCAGCTACTCAAGAGGGTAAGGCAGCAGAATCGTTTGAACCTGGGAAGCAGAGGTTAAAGTGCCAAGATCATGCCACTGCACTCCAACCTGGGTGACATAACAAGATTTTGTCTCAAAAAAAAAAAAAAAATACAAAATACATTCAGCATGATTAGTCACTAGGAAAGTGTAAATAAATACTACAATGAGGTACCACTACATATCACTAGAGTGGTTGAAATGAAAAAGACTGACCAAACTATCTTTGTGTTAGCAAAGACATGGAGAAACTGGAACTCTCATGTGCTCCTAGTGAGAATGTAAAGTTGTACAATATCTTTGGAAAATAATCATGCAGCTTCTTTAAAAGTTAAACATATTCCTATCACATGATCCATTTCTAGATATTTATTCTCCACATACATGCATAAAGAAATATATCTGGGCCGGTCGCGGTGGCTCAAGCCTGTAATCCCAGCACTTTGGGAGGCCGAGGCGGGTGGATCAC